TATATATAGTTAATTAATATACTAATAAAGTTAAGTTTTAGTAGTTTTATGTGTGTTTTTGTCATTTGTATTAGTTTTATTATGTCTATATAGTTTTATTTTATTTAGCTTTGTTTGTTATTTTAGTACTTTAGCTTGAATGAATAAGAAATTTTGCTTTGGAACATTAACTAAGAATATGTTTATTAATATTTTAATATTTTAATGTTAATGTTAATGTAATATTTGTTTTATTTCAAGTAATGTTTTTTTTTCTGGTTTTAGTTGTAGTTACCAGCAATAACCCGGCTGTGATATAATATCTTACACTGTGGTCATACTGCTCATCCCTAACAGATTTGTTTATTTCTATTTAAAAGCATGTTCCTGCAAGACTGTCATCATTACCAGACTATCAACAACATTGTCCTGCATGAGACTAACTAGTTTTAATACCTTATCAATAAACTTAACAGATCTAACAGAAGCCGTTGCTGACACTGACTTACTGAGGATGTGTCCTCGTCTCGGGTTTAAATACAGTTCCAGTGATGCGTCTCTGATCTCTCTTTCTGCTTGTATCCAGGATAAGAGGATTAATCTGAGTTTCCTGAGACTCTTCCGGGCCGCTCGTCTCATTAAACTCCTGCGTCAGGGCTACACCATTCGCATCCTGCTCTGGACCTTCGTTCAGTCCTTTAAGGTCAGAACTTGACCTTTGACTTTACTTGGACAGCTTAGACAACATTGACTGTCAACAGTAACTGTCAACCGTTCAAGACAATTGTTTGTCTGTAAAATAACTGTATTTTGTCCTCAGGCTCTACCGTATGTGTGTCTCCTCATTGCAATGCTCTTCTTCATATACGCCATCATCGGGATGCAGGTGAGATCCAGAGAGCTTTAAAAGCCTCTGTTGCTCTCTCATAAATGTTACCCTTCATGCAACCTTTCCATCTGAGATCTCATCACCACAGCTGCTACAATCATCTCACTTAACGTTTACAGCTTTAACGTGATAGATTACTGATCTTGGACTCATTGAGAATGACCAGTTATCTGTGTAAAAAGCACAGGCTGTTTTACATGGGCAGGTGGTGTTTTTCCATTTGAAAGCTTCATAGTCTTTATGAAAAGAAGCCATTGTTCCAGTCTTATGGACGGATCTCATCTTTAAGTTTGATTGCTCACTTAAGGATGAACAGGCAATCTCCCAGATTGTGTTGGAAATGATGGCGTCTGCCATCTAGTAGATTAGGACTGCATTGTAAATCAATGCTAACTGTATCCTGTAAGACTGGGGAAACAACATCATCAGTAAGCCATGTAATCAACTGTACGCTTGAAACTCCTACTGCCAACTATACGTTTGCTTCATCATTCAGCGTAAAACATCCTTTTGAACCAGTTTTTGCCATCTTTCTAGTATTTATATAGTAGGATTTGGATTATAATCATATTATGGCGCTTTTCCACTGCATGGTACGGCACGGTACGGCTCGGTACGGTTCACTTTTTGGGGGTTTTCCATTGGGTACAGTACCTGGTACCTGGTACTTTTTTTAGTACCACTTCGGTTGAGGTTCCAAGTGAACCGTACCGTTACCAAAACGTGACGTGTAAACTCTGCTGATCACGGATTGGCCGGAGAGAATCGTCACTACCTGCGTCACTGAACTTGCGACACAAACACAAAAGAACCGCTAGATTTAAATCAGCACAGCCAGTGAAGGATCGAACGCAACCGTTTTGAACGAGCACACCTTTTTTTAACAACCAAAAAGTTTTGTTGTCTGTTGCGGAAGAACAGACGTTCCTCTCGTTGATAGCAGAGGAGCGGATCCAGCGAGAGCTTGATGGGGCGACGCGGAATGAAAACGTTTTTTTTAGGAGTCGTGGTAGTAGAGGCGGCGCAACTATAACGACATGTGAATAATCCCGCCCACTCTAAAGCGGTACTGAACTGCAATGGAAATGCAAACCGTGCCGAGCCGAGCCATTAGAGTCATGGTTCAAGTTAAGCTTTATTTATATGACATGCTGTTGACTAGCACTGGCAATTTCACATCCTTCATTCTGTAGGAAATGCATTTACATTATTATAAAAAAGTGGGATGAGAGTGTTTTAAATCATAATTGTGAAGCCTATATTTTTTGCTAATTTAAATGTAATCTTTTTGTTAGAGCACTTACACTACTGTTTTAACATTTGGAGTCAATACGACTTTTTTTATTTATTTTATTTATTTATTTTTTAATTAATACTTTTTTTTTAAATTTTTTTAATGAACACTTTTACTCAGCTAGGGCATAATAAACTGATCTGAAGTGACTGTAAAGACCGTTATAAATGTTACAGAAGATTTCTATTTCAAATAAATGCTATTCTTTTGGACTTTCTATTTATAGAATAATTTTGAAAAATATATCACAGTTTCCACAAAAATATTAAGCAGTACAACGTTCAACATTGATAATAATAAGAAAAGTTTCTTCAGCATCAAATCGGCATATTAGAATGATTTCTGAAGGATCATGTGACACTAAAGACTGGAGTAATAATGCAGAAAATTCAGCTTTGCCATCACAGGAATAAATTAAATGCTAAATATATCGAAATAGAAAACAGTTATTTTAGATTTAATAATATTTCACAGGATTACTGTTTTGACCCCTAACTTTTGAACAGAAGTGTACATTAATACTTTATTACATAAATGTGTTATTTGAGTTGTAAAGTCATCTAAATGGCAATTTTTCTACCAGGTTAGTTAACTTCTGGTTATGTATTACTGTCGTATTTCCTGTGGGTGTAAATATTCCCTCTCTGGGATCCTTGCATAGATTGTGCAAGTTACAAAGTTTACTGCCTTTACATGATCATGAAAAGACAATTGGACATAACTTGGCACAGAATGTTTTTACAAACTTACAGACAGGTCAGTTATTTCAGGAATAATAGAAAGTGCACTCTAAGCATTGGGTTTAATATGTATTATTAACAGCAGAAATGTGCATAGATATATTACTTTTATTACTATACGCTTTTGTAGATGCCATCCTAAAATATTGTGTCCATCCATGGCCACTGGATGAGTTTTTGTAATGTATGTGGCTGACAGATTATTGTGATTTGTTTTACTGTCTGTCAGTGCATTGCAACTCTGTAGATTTGAGTGAGTGAGTCAGTATGTTTGTTTGCGTGTCTGCTGTCTGACATAAAATTATGAAATTCATAAGCATGAGTCACAGTTTATGGAAAATGTGTATGTGGCCTTGTTAATACTGCAGATGCTTACTGTAACATACCCTCCAGGCAGTCTGAATTATTGACACAGTCCCTTCGGGTATTTTCATGCAGCCTCAGTAGGAAAGTGCACACTTTGCACTATGTAATTTTCAGCCTATCTCCACCAAAAATGCTTGCATTGTCTGTATTGTATCCAAAATTAGACTGCTGATATGATTTTCTCTCTGTGTCAGGTGTTTGGTAACATCATGTTGTCCGAGGAGTCAGCTATCAACATTCACAATAACTTCCAAACTTTTTTTCAGGCCCTCATGTTGTTGTTCAGGTAAAGCCATTGTTTGATCTCTGTTCAGCCATCTTAAAATATCTCACAAAAAACTCTCACAACTTTTAAAAATGAGTGCAAGTGATTTCAAAGTTTCTGACTTTTGCTATTTGTATGTTACAGGAGTGCTACAGGGGAGGCTTGGCATGAAATTATGCTGTCTTGTCTGAGCGACAGGCCATGTGACCGTGACTCTGGCTATACTGGAAAAGAGTGCGGCAGTGATTTCGCTTACTTCTACTTTGTCTCTTTCATCTTCCTTTGTTCCTTCCTGGTTAGTGGAACAAATCTCAAATTCAAACAGACACACTCAAAAATGAATCATTTACTCACCCAACTCATGTTGTTTCAGACCTTTATGACTTTCTTCTGTGGAACACAATAACTATTTATAGCAGAATGTCCAAGCTGCTCTTTTGAGTACAGTGAAAGTGAATGGTGATTTGACACAGTTGTCAAGTGTGATTTTCAGCAAATAATGACAATTTGCTCTGTTCCTTACACAAAGCTACTTTATGGCTTTATGAAATTAAATGCTCAAGTTAAGGTTTTGGGGTGCTTTTTTGTCATTTTTGGACCTTGGCAATTGATTAAATGTGACAGTAAAGATTTTACATTGTTACAAAATGTTCTATTTAAAATAAATGCTGTTCTTTTGAACATTCTATTCATCAAAGAACTCTAAAAAATGTATCAGTTTCCATAAAAACTGATGATAATAAGAAATATTTCTTAAGCAACAAGTCGGCATGTTAGAAAGATTTCTGAATGGCTGCTGAAAATTTAAATAGAAAACAGCTTTTTAATTTGTAATAATATTTCACATGACTGTTTTGCTGTATTTTTGATCAAATAAAGAGGCCAGTAGTGTATATGCAAAAAATGTAACAGTGCACAAAACATAAAATCACACCGAGTGTAGCAGCTTTAATGAGTGCAAACATCCTTTGAGTCTAGCCAACAAGACACCAAAAAAAAAACTGTGATCATATTTTAAATAATTCTGATTATAATTCTCCTGTTTTTCGTAATTCTTCCTCTATCCTACAACAATCAGATGCTGAATCTGTTTGTCGCCGTCATCATGGATAACTTTGAGTACCTGACACGTGACTCTTCTATTCTCGGGCCTCATCACCTCGACGAGTTCATCCGTGTCTGGGCTGAGTACGACCCTGCCGCCTGGTGCGTATCACTCCTCCACGGTGTCGCTGCCAGTTAGTGCCACTTTTAAAAAATGTGACAGCTCGAGACTAAGTGGTTGAAAGACGCCAGCTTAAGAGGGTACGCCACCGTCACTGTGTCTGATTTACTCAAGGCCTTAAGTCACAAGAATCCCATTTTACTGTGTGACCATGGTTAACATCAAATCCTCAAACTTTGTCAATACTGAGGAATGCAAATCTTATCCTTTGCATGCCATCCACTTTTAGTCTATCTTGAGCAGAACGGATTTGAAGCCTGTATGCGTGCGTGCGTGCGTGCGTGCGTGCGTGCGTGCGTGCGTGCGTGCGTGCGCGCGTGTGTGTGTGTGTGTGTGTAATCCATTTTAACTTGAAAAGGCACAGCTGAGCGCAGTTATCTCAATAAGCATGAAGTCTTTAGATACATATATTGACGGAATGTGGAAAAAATGTATTAAACGCTGTCTTTTTAACCCATATCTTATTTTTTTTGCAGTGGAAGGATACACTATATGGATATGTACAATTTGTTGCGCATAATCTCACCCCCCCTTGGTTTAGGAAAGAAGTGTCCTAATAGGGTGGCATACAAGGTTTGAAAACCTACACACCTTCCCTCGAGGGGGCGGTGCTGTAAAAAATGAATGCCCATAAAATGCCTGCTATTGTCTGATTGGATTATACTCCCCCTCTTTCTTTACTAATTTTAATATGGGTAACCAGGAAACAAAGCCAAATGCTAAATCCCACATCCCAAACTAATCCCATATGTTCATTCATTGTAAATATTGATGTACTAGAGCAGCTTTTATTTGCTCTGTTAATACTGTGCATAAAATTAGGCCAAATATTAGCTTTGTTCCTGAGTATCTGATTGGTTAGCCGGGGTGCGTCCTAGCATGTAAGGACAGAAGCTCCAGACTACAGCCCCCCTCCAGCCCAATCCCATCATGCCATGTTCTTCATCCCTGGATCACCTGCAGCCTGTATCTTTAAAAGTAGGCGTGATCTATCCGTTCTTCTGAGACAGGATGGTATCGGATACCCTTGGCCTTCCTTCAGAATCCTTGATAACTATGCTTTTTTTTCTTTTCCTTTCTTTCTTTCTTTCATTCACATCACATTTTCTTCATGTTCTCCACTACTCCTTCCCTCTCCTTTTCTTGCCTGTGTGACCTTTGAACTCTCGGTGTCACCCCTGTGAAGTGGACGCATATCCTACCTCGATATGTATGAGATGCTTCGCCACATGTCCCCTCCGCTAGGTTTGGGAAAGAAATGTCCTCCACGAATCGCCTATAAGGTAGATCCCATCCCCCTGACTGTGCCTTGGCTCTTCCTCTGTCCTCTCATTGGCTGATGTTGCTGTCAGTCAGTGCTCTAATTGTGGAAGTGTTTTTTTTTTTTTTGCGTGCTTTGTGTTGTGCTCTTTTCTATGTGCTTTTTGATCTCACTGATGGTAGTAAAACTTTAGATTTAAACTGGCAAAGTCTATGGTCACCAAGGTTGCATTTATTTGATCAAAATACATTAAAAACAACAATATTGTGAAATATTATTACAATTTAAAATAACTGTTTTCTTTTTAAATATATTTTAAAATGTAATTTATTCCTCTGATGGCATAAATCATCTTTGATCACCTCATGATCATTCAGAAAACATTTAATATACATATTTTAATCAAATTAAATATATGTATGTGTTTAATTAGGTATATAGGCACATTTATAATTTCATTCAACAAAACTGATTAACTTTTTACCTCAGTGTATTCTGGTATTGATGTTTCTGCAAAAGATATATGCAATGGCTTAGATTTTGTCTGAAAAACAGTTTCTTAGAAGGCGGAATAACTGGTAGAGAGCGTTTGTGTCTTAAGCACACCCTTAAAATACTACATTGGCAGCTCAATATATTTTGAAACAACAAAAGTAGACAGAATAAATACACAGTCAGCACTGAATTTCCTCAGGCATCTGCAGCAGTACTAAAATTGGTTGTCTTGCGATGTATAAAAGAAACTAAGGAAGTAAATAATTGAATGGGAAAAAAGTGACTCTAAATTTCACAACTGAATCTTAAGCGTCACTGGTGTACAGGGCTGCCTGTTTTGGTCCCAGGCCATTCTGCCACTTTGAGAGCTGCCTCCGAGTCAATAAGTTTACACACCCTGTTCCAGCTGTCTGAATGGGTAACGTTCAAGAGTTCTTGTCTGTCTGCTGAGCTACTCTCTGAGGCCACACAGTCTGTGTGCGTGAAGGCTTGAGGATGCGACGTTCTCCAGCGAGCTCTAAATAGAACAAGCCCCCACTTCCCCCAAGTTCAGAGCACTGAATCAACAGGGAGGAAATAAAGAAAGCTTGCTGTAGATGTGTGCTCAGTGGAGCGTCCTTTCCATTTTTTTTTATTGGTAGCTGTTGTGGAAACATGTCTATGCTGGCCTATGCACTCTAATGGCAGAGTGTTATTCCTGTGTATGATGTTATGCTCTACACCACAGAAACAGATCCATTCCCTGTTTATTTTGTGTCTGTTGTCTTTTAACCTCTACAGTTTTCTTTAATTACCATTGAATGTGTTAATGTGTGAAGCATCTGCTCTGGCTTTACCTTGAGTTACGTGTTTGTGTGGTGTGTGCTGTCATTGCTCTTGGTTTTGGTTGGTCAGCATGTTATCTTTTCTCGTTCTCTGATCATCATCCTTTCTGAAGGTCATCGCTGACTTTGTAAAAATGCAAGAAATACAGCCGTCAACGCCACACATTTCAGCGCGCATTAACTAGTGCATTTGCATTCTCTACGTGGACAGTAGTCATAGCTGCCCACATGCAAACTGGCAATATTTAATATTGATACCTCAAACACAAAGGATAAAGGACTTTATAAGTTTGATTTTCCAAAAAGTCCATGTTTTACCCCAAAATCAAAACAATTAAAAATAGAAGACAATTAAAACACCATTAAAGGTGTTTAATTGCAAATTGGAGTAATGGTCACAGCACAGTTTTTGCTTAAACCTGATTTTTTTTTTTTTATCAGAGCTTAAGATGCTAACATGATATTGTACATTGTCAGGTTATTAAGCATAATCAGTAAGATTGTGCATGTAATCGCTTTTACTGAGAAACCTGTAAACCTCCAATAATTGCTAAAGCTCACACTGTTCTCAGTGTGACGAAAACAGCTTTACTGTCTGCTAACTGGAGAAATGCAGCAAAACACCATTCATCCTCTGCATGAAATATAAACACACTCTCTCTTTCCTCTCATCATTTTGATGTCCTGAAGAGACAATTTGTGTGCTGAGATGAGAGTTCAGAAATGACAAATGACAAAAGGGAAATTACGTAAAGTCGTTACTCTCCCTAAGCATGCAAACTCCTCCTGTCGTTTGTTATGGTCATTTCCGTATCCTGCAGTCATGTGTGATATTAATCACATACTATGTGTGGCCATGACTCCACAGCGGTTGGTGAGGATGAACATGCCCATAGCTGAAGACAGTACGGTTCACTTTACCTCCACTTTAATGGCTCTCATCCGGACCGCCCTGGAGATTAAACTGGCATCAGGTGAGTGTCACTGGCATTTGTCAAAAGCTCCTTTAACTCTCCATCGGCTCCAGCAGCGCTTTTCACCAGTCACTGCTCTGTTCCATCAGCCACATTAAACACTCCACCATCGTTAAAAGCATTTCAAGTTAATTGAATGATGCTTTCCCCAATGACTTTGACTTTTATTTAACCTTTTACTTGGTGCAAAATATGATTAAAGAATAAGATGACATCCATTAACAGCTTGGCAAAAAAAAATCTCACATGGGGATATTAACAATGGCAAGAATTACAGTAACATTATGAAAGACTCTTATTAACATTATTGCTTCTTACAGACTTGCTTTCTTATCGTTTTTCTAGGAGTTCTGGCTCAGCGGCTATGTGATGCTGAATTAAGGAAGGAAATAAATAAAATTTGGAGTAACTTGTCTTCGAAAACAGTAGACCTGCTGGTGACACCTCATAAACGTATGCCCTGCATTTAGAAACGCTTGCTAAAGTAATGTTGATTTCTGTTTAGAAAGCAATTAACATTTATATGGAATCTTAATTAAATTCTAATGGGAGTTTGGGTTTTCATTTTGAAAGAGTATTAATGATATTTTCCACCTGAGTGATTCAGCCTGGTTTTGCTTGTGACTTCTGAGTTTTTGGTGCCACCAAGTGGACATCAGTTTTCTCCCTGCACTTCTGACCGTTTGATATCTCATGTGCATTTCACTCTCTCTTAGATAATGAACTGACTGTAGGGAAGGTCTATGCTGCTCTGATGATTTTCGACTACTATAAGCAGAACCGAGCCAAAAGACTCCAACAGCAGCAGGCTGCACCAGGCACACAGGTAGAGGGAACTTATATCTGCAGAATTATAATTAATAGTAGGAATATTTTAGTAGATATAGATTAAAGCCATATTTTATTATCAAACAGTTATTAATATTTGATGATACAGTCCTTCTGAGACTGTTGTGTTTGTTATGTTTTGTCCTCAGAGTAAAGTTGGTGTTCTCTTCAGACCAATGCTTCCTCTCACACACTTGCACGATCAGGAGCCACTAGTGCTGAAAGCCCCGCCCTCTTCTCAATCAGATACCACACCACAGCCAGATGCCCCGCCCACATCTTTTCACCTGACCAATGGGGATGCAGTGTGAGTGTTATACCATTCTGGTCTTCTAAGTACTACACTTTCCATTTGAAAATGGGTTTTGTATTTTTTCATTTTCTTTTTTTAATTGATCTTTTTTTAATTTTATGTATGTCACAGACAAAGCCAGAGCAGTGCCATGAAAAAGTCTCCATCGGGAGGTATACCTCAGGAAGTCACACAGGAAGTGAACAGAAGGCCTGTCCAACGGGGCCAATCGGAAGATGTGCCAAACACATACAGATCTCAGGTGATTTGACCTCTACTAGTGATCCTGCATAAGTTACATGTGTCAGACATTTACAGCCATTTACTGATCAGTTAAGCCCTAGTTTCTGTGGTCTTTATTAAAGCTACAAACTGTCAGATCCATCAGCAACAATTCCAAATACTGTTCACTGTTCATTCCCTTGTGAAAAAAGAATTGTACTTAAAGGGATAGTTCATTTTTGGGTGTAGTGTACTTCACTTGTGGTGTACTTCAAAAAAAGCACTCTTAAGTTCAGTTAACTGCTTTTAATATAAATTGAAACTTATAATTAATTTTCTTTTAATTCCAAATAACATGCAGTTTAGTGTGCAAAAACATTACATTCAGTTCGCACTTAAGTATATTGTTTCCTTAAGTACTCTTTTTATAAGTATGCTAAAGTATGCTGCTTCTTCACGATGGTTTCACTTTTGTGTTTATTTTGTCTGGCTCTATGTATGTTGCAGGAATTAGTTGAGATGACTGACATGGAGAATGACTCTGATGTGGGCGGGTATCCTGTGCTGGAGGGTCACGGCAGAGCTGCCTCCATGCCCAGACTCAATGCTGGCTTTCAGGTAAACATCTCCTATCCATCGTGGCCATATGAGTTCGTTCTGGTGGGAGTTGGAAATAACTACTGTACAGCCTTTGTTTCTTATTCTGATTAATTCCTGCAAAGAAAGAGGCAGCTGGGGGATGACTGTGCATAGATAGAGGGAAGAGGAGTGAATGGGCAGCTGTATGAGAGAATGGATGAATGGAGGTAATAGGGAAGATGTATTAATGAATGCAGAGAGGAGTCGAAGAATTCAAGCAAATGAATTGGAGGAAGTCAGGAGAGGTTAATTTACTGTATACACTAGTCTCCACTGAGAGACACATTTATTCATCT